CCTGAGTTCTTCTCTTAAACAGAAAATACTCTGTTCCACCTTGTGATGTCATGTAGTAATTCAGGAAGTGCCCCCACTGTGTTTTTAAACTCCACTAGAATCATGTGAATAATTTCAGCCCTGGAATCATCAATCTCTATTGAATTGCATTGAAATGAATCTCTATTGAGGTAAAAGGAGCTGGTAACTTGAAAACTTCATGACATCACAAGGTGGAATAGAGCATTTTGAGCTTTGGAGATGTATAATAGGTGGATTACTTATACATGTGTGATTGAAACAAAACACAACTCCAGGTCTGTTTTTGATGAGGAAACAACATTATAACATGACAAAAATCTCACAAGAGATATAGGACCTTTAAAAAGCGCTGTAGTACCTGATTTTTACTATCTTAAAAATGTGAAAAACACAAGTATTTCATTTTTTTTTAAAAAGGTTGCAGTGGTTCAAAGGCCTGGCAAATCCAAACTCATACTTTCTGTATGTTTTATATAGAGGGATATCAGTCTGGTCTCCACACACTCTTTTCACAACTTTCAGACATCAGAGCCAAGTTTTGCTTTGACGGTAATGCTACCATGCTAACAGTGAATTTCCTGAATCTCAGACAGTAAAACACTATAATTAGATATGTAGTATAGGTACTGGTGAAAACAAATTTTGTTCAACAACAAAATAAACAAAAAACAGATAAACAGCTAAACAGCTAAACTCAAAACAAACTGTCTTTTGTCAGATATTCTGTTAGTTTGATGATAGTTAATTTACCTCTCTTTTAAGTAGCCAAGCTGCTGCCACCTAGTGCCTCCGCTCCATTTCATTTCCCTTCAGCGACTAGGTCAAGAATCGGAATACACCAGACCAGACATGTCAGACTCAGGCCCGGGGGCCAAATTTGGCCTGCGATATAATTATATTTGGCCTATGAGATCAAATCAAATATGTATTAGAGCTGCCTGCCGGCTACAGATAGACTATACAGACATTATTTATTTAAAATGTTGTTATTTTATAATATGTTTGTGCTGGATTCAATGTTTAAGCGAAAACATGCAGATGTTGTTGAAATTTTTCAATAAATATTTAGTTTGGCTCACGACTTAGTCCCAGTTTTTAAATTTGGCCCTCTGTGAAGTTGAGTTTGACACTCCTGCACTAGATGTTTTGCAAGAACCTCAGAAGTGTGAGTCCGGGCACCAGCCAACCAGTGTTCGCCAACCAGTGTGTGGGCAATGATTCCCGAGATCAAGGATTTAAAACTGGTACAAAGAGAATGTCTGGTGAATTTTATCAAGGGGAAAGAAGTTATTGTCCTTCTTCCTACAGGATTTGGGAAAAGCTTAATATACCAGTTAGCGACGCATTACATACATCACGACCAAACAGCAGTGACTGGTTTAATAAAAAAGTACCAGTCTACCGTCAAGCGAATGAATCCTAATGTTGTGAGGTCAGACAGTTTCCACATCTACATTTTAAGCACTCCTTCATTAATATTTGAGAGAAGACTGAAATATGCTGCTAACGATTACAGGGGCGAATTTGGAGCCAGGCTCAATATTATGAATAGGATTTTTTTAACAGACAAAATAGCAGGAAAAAAATCTCAGGATCACGTAGAGCGGGTTAATACAAACATTTTATGACCAAAATAGCACAAATACAGCAGAAGGGCAGCAATATTCCAGTGTAAGTCAATAGGAGCCAGGGTCAGAAGGAGCAGGAAGTGCCCATGTGCTCACTTCCTATTTAGAATGCAGCGACTAGTGCGTTAGCTGTGTCCATTTATATATACAGTCTATGATATTAAACCGCTCTACATGATCCTGGTGTTTTTTATTTCACTATTTTGTCCACAAATCAATTCTTACTCCTAATATGGTTCAAATGCAAAATAGCTCAACATGCAAGTTTACTCAGATGTGCATGGATGATTCAGAAGACCACTTTCATCAGGTTTCACATCTGCAATCTACTGATAACGAGAAATAAATCAACTTACAGACGGTGGTTAAAGAGTATAGACGTGTAGCAGTATTCCTTTTTTGGTAATAATAGGCCAGTGTAATAGTAGCACGGGACTCACTGACCTTTGCTGTGAAAAAGGAAATAACTCTAAATATAGTTAATTGTTGACACACATTGAGTCAATCTTTTGTAATAGCTGCTTAAAATACTCACAGTGACATGAGGTTAAAGTGCATATGACAGGTTAGACTATTCATTTCACTAACACACATTTCATCATTATATTTAAAGATACATTGTGTAACTTTTTTGGTGGACGGTGCTTTTCTTTAAATGATTCATCATGTTTCTTCGTTGAGATGTTATTACTTTCTTTACAATGTTTCACAGTATGGTTTTAAACTTTTCTATCTTCATGGAGACTAATCCAGACCAATATGTATTTCCAGGGCAGATCTGTGGAGAGACGATCCCGCACACAGTTAGAATGTTTGGTTTTCGAGGCATTTTTGAGTTATTAAACCACCTGTAATTGAGTAAATATAATGTAGAGCTGTTCACACTGTGGAACATTCCAGGCAGAGCAATGGCATATCCATAGAAACAAGCAGGTGACGGAGCCCAAACCAAAAAAGTTACATAGTGCACCTTTTTTTCCATAATGAACTAAAAACTGTAGAAGACATAGGTAGAGGGATTCTGTTTTAGAACTTAGCACTACTTTTTGGATCTTTTTGCTTTTCTTTTCAACATTTTCCTCACAATCTGTCACTTAACTGATGCAAAATGAGGATAAATATTGATCACAACAGGAAATATCTCACTAAACCAAGACAGGAAATGTTATGTCTTGCACTTCAAGTCATAACTTAAAGAGATGCTGACAAATTTGATAGACTAGCTTTGATTATTTTAGTGCTATAAGGGGCTTCTATGCAAAAGTTTTATCTGTTGACATGTATAACAAGAGATCATTTAGTTAGATCAGATTTTAGGTTAGATAATAGATCATAGACATGAAATTTGTTTCACACTGACACAGCAACTCCATCACATAAACACTGTGCAGCAGACCTGCGCATTGTGCAGCTCTGGGGCCACACAGCCCTCTGACTCTGACTTGGTCTTTTTAAGATCATTTGGAATTACAAAATAAACATATTCTATAATTTGACCTCATGCATGGACTAAAGCTGCATTGCTTTTATTTTAGAAGTGTTTTGTAATGACATTTTTTGTAAGTCATCCTCACTTTTAAATTTTTCATTGCTTAGTCACACATAAGCTCTCACCAGTCTGAGCAGCTCGTCAAAACAATGATATTTACTGCTTTTTTATAAAGAAATACAATTAATATTATGCAGAATTGAGTTAAACATTTTTGCCCGGCCCCCACATTTCTCATGTGGCCCCATGGAAAAAATAATCGCCCATCACACATAGATCTAAACTCACAGGACCATCAGACTTAAATTTTCATGTCACTGCGTTTAGTTAAAGGTGCGCTAGGTAACTTTCCTGATGGGAGGCCCGCACCTGCTTGTCTCCACGGTGATATTATTACGCTGCCTACAATGTCCACACTATGGCATTAAACATATCTGCCCAGCACTTACTGAATCACAGATTTAATATTGCTTAAAACGCCTTGAAGAAGATGAATTATTTTAAGCAGGCTCACCTCTCCACAGATCTGACCTGTAATTTAGCCAGGTCACATCACCTGCTTGTCGAGAAAGTGAAACATTTCACGGTAATTACATCTCCATAGAACAAGGACCAGAAAAATTACGTAGAGCAATTTTTGTTTTATTGATTGTGAAAGAAAACTGTAGGTGCAGCTTTGGAACCATCATGTTGGAAATCTTGAACCCAAACACTCTGAGCCTCTGATGTCAAAATATGGAACAGTTAGTGTAAATCGGAGGAAAAGAGGGGAGCAAAGTCCAAATATGGATGATTAATATGTATCAATAAAATGTACATTTGCACAATTATTATAGAATTATTTGAGGGACAAGGCTCTGAGTGTTTTAACCACTTTACAAAATGGGTTTCACGCTGTAGGAACTTTTTGCAGTTCCTCGCTGTGTTTTTCTAGCCCCTTTCTAAACATGTTCACACAGAGGAGGACACAGACACTGCTTTACATTTCTGCAGCAGTGTTTCTTTGAGCTTAAACTCTTTTTTTCACCACCAGAGTTCAAAATATTCACACTCACAACTGAACCTGGTGAAAGAACCTTAACCATTCAGATCAGAGAGGGCCATTTGAGGTTTAAACCAACTAAATCAGCCATAAAAACTATATTTGTGTTGAATATGTTTACCTCATAACTGGGGCCAGAAGTTTATGAAATTTTAAATCAAAATCTTGCATCCAGCTCCTTTTAACTGACGATAATTCTAAACGTTACAACACAATTAAAGACAGCCGAGATAAACCAAAATCTCAATTAGGCCTGCACCATCCGCCCACGTGCATCTTTTCATTGGGCAAAGCTTAACCAAACTGCTTAACCAGCTGTCTCCGTGTGGTCCTCCCCGCACAGACACTGTTCTCCTGTAGGTAATCAAGCCATCCATCTGAGGCGCCAACAATAGACGTGTGCAGTGCGCGCTGACAGGTCCAAACAAACAGCTCCCTCCGCGCCGCGAGCGTCTGTGTGGGCTCCGCTGGCACCGTTTACCCGGATACCAGCCTTTTACGCACACGGGGGATCCTCGCGCATCACCGGACACGCCTTGTATGGAGAGGGGAGCCACCGGAATTCCGAAGCACCACTTGCTTTCACCTTTACGCGACACACAAACTACCAAATATTTGAATAAAAGCGTAGAAATGATTATTGAATTAAAATATGTTTGAAAAATGAGTGCGTAAAAATGTGTGGTTTTGTTTATTTGGGTTTCGTCACATCAAACCGTGTCATCCTATTTTCGGAGTTCCCTCTCCTTAGTCCATATTTGGTGTGTGACGCACGGGGGACACCCAGAGATCCCCTTTATAATCTTAACACGACGGCCAGGAGCTATTTACAAACGCGCAAGAGGAATAAAAACATGGGGACCGCTTCAAAAAGCCAGAGGCAGTCAGGAGGCATGATCTGAGGGGACGCGGTCTCACTAAACGCGGACAAAATGACGGCGAAGACCGAAGACGAGGTGTGCGCGTCTTATGGAAGTCTCATGGACGTGATCCCCAAAGACGTGTTCTCCACAGAGGGGGTCGTGTTTAAAGAAGAGCCCATGGGGGAGGAGGAGGAGGAGTATGGGGGGAAGAACGGAGCCGGTAAGTCCCACGTGGGGCCGAATCGGGCTGTGTCAGTGTGGGGCATTTGGGGAAAGTGCCGTGCGTAAAAATGAAACGATACGTGTCTGTCTGAAGTGATGTTGTGTTTGAGTCACGATGTTGTGCTGTATTCACTGTAGATACACACGCACGTACATGAGCGCGGATCTGAGCTTATACCAAATAAAAAGATGTATTCACTGGTCACTTTCCAAATAAGACACGGAGCCTTCACTCCATCCTAAAGTCAAACTCACTGTGACAATAGTGCGTATGTGTATGTGTATGTGTCCTAATGCGCGTGCTCATCTCTGTCTCACAGGTGCCCTCACATTCAGCCAGAAGGACGAACCACCTGTGCACGCGGACCTGACGCACTACGTGGCCACTTTACGCACGCAGCCGTTGTCCTTTACGGCCAAGTTCTCCGTGGACTCTCGAAGCGCACGAGGGCCGTGGACCACTGAGGATCTGATCAACGTGGTGAGCGCAGACATCACTGTCCCGGACCTCACCTCTGCGGGGGCGTCTCCGTGCGCGTCTCCACCGGACACCTACACATCCTCAGGAGGGAGCGCGGCGGAGGGAGAGCACGCGGGGGAAGGCGTCATGGCGCACGCGCAGCCGGACCTTAGTCACATGTACGCGCACGCTCACTCACATGCACACCCACACGCGGCCCCGTCCTACTCGTGCAGTGGGGATTTGTACCAGGACCAGAGCGCGTACATGGCTTCGTCCGCGTGCGCCATGTCCTACCACGCGCCCCAGCCCACGGTGGACGGGGCCGCGCTCCTGTCCTTCGTGCCCGAGTACAGTGGCTTCTACCCGCAGAGCTGCCAGCGGGAGGAGCGGAAATCCCTCCCGTACTCCCTGGAGCCACTGCGCGTGCCCCCGCCTCTCACACCGCTCAACACCATCCGAAACTTCACCCTGGGCGCACCAGGCGCATCCACAGAGGGGCCCATGGCCACGGCCTTTCCCGCTCACCAGAGCCTGCCTCTAAGGCCCATACTGCGGCCCCGAAAGTACCCCAACAGGCCTAGCAAGACGCCCGTGCACCAGCGGCCGTACCCGTGCCCCGCGGAGAGCTGTGACCGCCGCTTCTCTCGCTCAGACGAGCTGAGTCGTCACCTGCGCATCCACACGGGGCACAAGCCGTTCCAGTGCCGCATCTGTATGCGGAACTTCAGCCGCAGCGATCACCTGACCACGCACATCCGCACGCACACGGGGGAGAAGCCCTTCTCCTGCGACCAGTGCGGACGGAAGTTTGCGCGCAGCGACGAGCGGCGGCGGCACATGAAGATCCACCTGCGGCAGAAGGACAAGAAGGCCTCCGGCTCCTCTTAAGCCCCACGTGCCATGGACTTAACCGTGCAAACACTGAACCCCGGCCCTCTGCTGCACGCGCACTCCTCATGTATCTGAACCGCGCACTGCCGCAGGTCACAGTATATTTATTAAACAGATCTGACATAAGAGTGTTCAAGTGCCCCGTGAGACCCACACCACAGAACCACCACCACAACATGCCTTTATGAGAATCCAGAATGCACGTGCAGCATGGCCCCACACCAGCCCCTCTCTCAGTTCACACACTCACACATGAACCCTCACCCACAGCTTGCTTTTGTGCTCTTGAGCAAGGTGTTGTGTCTGCTTACAGTTTGTGCTGCTGCTACTCAGGGATTTGGAGTCCAGGTCCACGTAAGAATGCAAAACGTCCTTATGCAAAACACTAAAACTAATCTATTTAAGCAATGAAGTATTTCATTTGAATTGAAACCAATTTGTAGCCGCCAACATCAACACCACCACAACCACCACCACCACCACACTGAAACAAAGTAAACCACTAAACAGGTGAACACATTTGAATACGACTGTTTGGGAGGAATTAGAACATTCTTTTGAATATTGAACTCAGATGCAAAGTTCTGCAGACTGTTTTTCCCACTTTGTAGATGTCTTTTTGTTTTTTATACACCAGGGAGGTTGTTACCAGATTGTAGCGTGGTCATTTATTCCTGTTTGGCAAAGATTTGTATTTTTGAATGTTTGTAATTTTTGGAAGAGACTGAAGGATATTTGCGATTGTGTTTGTGGTAATTCATTTTTATGCAACAAGCCGAGCACCGGAGCTTTGACTGTGCTGGACCGATGATGCTTCTTGTCGATGCAATTAAAAGTTCTCTTGTACAATTGTTTACGTCGTCATGGTTACTGAGTATATCTGCGGTGATGGAGGTCACTTTTATATATAAAATGTTTAGACAAGAAGTTGGCCGCATTAAGTCTTTTACACACAAGTAAAAACCAACTCAAGTAGGCCTTAAACGTTCACTTTTCTGGTGGACAGTACAGAAATAAACTTGGTTATCACAATGGAGACAGGTGAATGGTCAGATCTATGGAGAAGCGAGCCCGCACATGGTAAGAATTCATGTTTTTTTTTACGTTATTTTTGGGCTATAAAACACCTGCAATTAAACAGATGCAAGGGAGATGTGTTTAATGCCCTACTGTGGAATATTCCAGGCAAAGAAATCACATCTCCATGGAAACAAGCAAGTAGCAAACCCTCCACCTTAGAAGTTACACAGTGCACCTTTAAGACATAACATAGGATTAGTTTATAAACGTTAAAGAGGAGCTTTCTACGATGTTTTAAAGTTCCCTCATCAAAAACGTGCCTGAAGAGGTTTTAAATGTCATCCATGCATGTTTGAGTAATTTAGCGATCTCTCCCGGGCCATATTAAAACCCTCCTTGCAGTCAGTGGTAAAATTTTGTCCAATACTTCACCCACAAACCTATGTCCCCCATGCTCCCACACGACAATTCTCCATAAATATACAAAGGTTACGTTTATATGATGACGGTCTGAACAGAAGATGCAAAAGTGGCATCGTGACTTCACTTTTTATTCCACGTTTATCGTTTTCAGGAGGATGACACAAAAGTGTGTAGAATTTGACTGGGTATGTTTGCACTTAAAGCAACAAGGGCATCTTTGGGCATACTGAAGTTTTCACGCCACACATTTTCATCAGCTACTCCTTCCACAAAGTTGTTCATCCATCGAATGGTTCTCCAGGTCTCGTCCATATCCATCTTACTCACCTGCGACGACGTGGTGCATCCAGAATTTGACAGAGGTAATTGCAGATCCTTCTCTGTTTACTAATAGTATCTCTGCAGATTCTTTTCATTTGTTGGGATGCGTCCTGTAAGTTTATTAGAGCTGTCAGAGCAACACGAAGGTCCGACGCATGGAAATGATCTGCCATGTTTGTTTCTGTGTAGTGTATGTATGTGATGTAAACACATACGAGACATGAGCAGATCTGACCAGAGTTTTGCGTCTTGGGCAGTGTAGACGGAAAAATTACGGTGGAGCGTATTCAACTTTTCCACTCTGGAGGGTGGTTTCAGATTTTTGCCTTTTTATGCCCCCAAAATGCCGTCACCATCTAAAACAAAAGGCACTTCCAATAAAATATATTGTCATTTTTTCCCTGCAAGCATTCTCATGTAAACAGGCCAATAAACATGTCACAAAACTGTACACTACGACTTCACAAACCTGACATGATGTGCTGTAGTTTTATTAGAAAACAACAAAAATGTGACTTTCCAATTTAAGTGAAAATTGTGTGTCTTAACTATTTTTGCATAACTCGTTTCCACTTTCAAGGCACTCACAGCGCTTTGCATCAAGGAACCACTCATCCTTTTACATGCTAGGTTAAGTGTCTTGCCCAAAGACACAACAACAGCATTCATCCACGGGAGCTGGGATTGCGCTACCGATCTTGAGATCATCGGACAAATACGCTGACCGAGATAATCCATCAGTGTAAAAAATGAATAAATAAATAAATAAATCATGCAGCAGCAGCAAATTAAAATAGACCCTTCACCAGAAAAGTTACGTAATGAAACTTTATGTTATGTGGAATAGCCAGAAATAGCATGTGTTGGTCTGTGTTAGTCATGAACAATGCTTTAAAATACGACATCATTTACAAAGAAGTCTAAACACAACCATAACGTCACCACTTCTGTAAAAGGACTTCTGTAACTGCTCTGTTAAATCGAACACTAGAATCTAACACTTCACTTGCATTTAGCTCGTTTATTTTACTCACAGCTACAATTGTGTGGATCTTAATGATTGTGGTAAAGTAACGAGGCGAAAAAAGCACATCACTTGTCAATTAGACTCAGGTCAACTTGAATGAGATGAGTAACTTCAACAATTACGTGTTATTGTCAAGAGTCCAGCTCCATTTCCCAGTCCTCCTTTTGCTACCTCCCTGTTTTTCCTACAGTTGCCACTTATTCCCTGATCCTCGCAGGGCGTCTCTCTCTATCCTCTCTCTGTTCATCCAGTCTCTATATCTTCCCTCTGTTCATTCCGTTTGTGTTTGATTACATCTGTTCACCTGTTTTGTTTCTTCAGTATTTTTTGAGCCTTAAGTTTGGTTGAGTTGACCTGGAATGACCGAGCTCTATTATTTTACATGTTATGATGTGTTTGAACTTTGAACAAAACAAGTTGAACAAAAGTTTTGCTAATAAATATTCAAATCCTTGTACCTGATGCAAATCTAAATGACATTATTGTAGGAAAGAACCTATTTTTACTCTAGTAACATATATATATATATATATATATATATATATATATATATATATATATATATATATATATATATATATATATATATATATATATATATACCCAGTTTAAACCCTAGTTTATTACTATTTATTAGTTTTATTACCATTAAAAAATAAGAAATTTGAATGTAAATTTTCAGGTAAATCAATTTCATTTAAAAACTTTTTTTATGGTAAAATATTGTAATAAGCACATTATGTAACTTTGTAATCAACAGTATCAATACAATTTTTGCTGTAATTGAAGGAAATGTTGTATCTTCATTTAACGGTTAAGTTCTGGCAAACCACAGCTGCCAGGATTTTATCCTAATTTTTTAATTTTTTTTTTCACAGTGTAGATGTAAGAGGAATATTTACTGGACACTACACTGAGGAATGACTTGTAAACTCAACTTTAGATTCACACTCCACTTTAGTCAGATTTTTGCTTTAGGTCTCCTATTGTAAAATTAGATTTTACTGTGTGAGAAATCACTTGATTTTGAGACATTGATGAAAAAAATCCCAGTCTCCGCTCTGGCACCTGTATTTGTGTTATTTGACCCGCAGACTGTAAATACAAACGGACATGGCTAACCCTCTAGCCGCCACGTTCCAAATAGGAAGTGAGCATGGGGGCGTGTCCGGCTCAAAACATCCACAGTGTGTTTTGGTAACACTTCACAGGAGGAACTTGCACACTTTGGATTTCACTTGTGCCTTGAGAATGATTGCTATATTAAGAATGCGCGACACAAACTTTCTGAACTTTGAAATGCACGGTTAACACAAAAAAAGTCACCTTTCTTCCTCCAGTTTCTTGTGTTTGCTTAAGGTGACCAGATTTTCAAAATAAAAAATTGGGACATCCCTGGTTTGGGGTGGTTGGTAATAATAAAACTGTGAAACGAGTGCGTAATTAAGGAAAACTAACTAATGTGAGTCAGTATAGTCACTTTGTGTTTTGGTCATTATTAAGCAGATTTTCTGTATTTTACCAAAAGCAAATGACAATGTATGCCTCTCTTTACTGTTGGCAGGGATCAGATTGGTCAAAAATATCGACACCTGGGACATTTCTTGTACAAAACTGGAACAAATCACTGGTTTTGTATAAATCTGATGGGACAGGGCTCAAAATTGGGACTGTCTGGGTAAATAGGGTCATCTGGTCTCCCTTCTTCTGCTCCATAGACTGTAAATATAAATGGACCAAGTAGGTTCCAAATAGGAAGTGAGCATGGGCACGCTTCTGGCTCCATCATTTCTAGTTCCAGTTCACTTGTATTGAAAAAATTGTCTCTATCGCTGTATCTGCTGCTGTCAGACTCCTCATTTTGGTTTTAAAATGTTTGTATTAACCCACTCTACATGATCCTGGTGTTTTTATTTTTCACAATTTTGTTGCTCCTATAGCTGTGGCCTCGGTGAGCTTCATTTGACTGGAACTGAACGCCTTCGTCCACGTCTTTTGTACCGTCTGTGGTCAGAGCGTGTCTCTCCTCAGATGGACGCACAGATGTGTGTCTCTTCTTTGTCCCGCTGAGAGTTGAGACTGACGGGAGTTTTATGTGGGACAGAGGGACATGGCAGTGCCCACCAGCTCCTGTCACCCGCTCCTGTCCCGCTCCTGTCACCCGCTCCTGTCACCCGCTCCTGTCACCAGCTCCTGTCACCAGCTCCTGTCACCAGCTCCTGTCTGTCCGTGACTAAACGACTGACACTCTCTCTTCTTTCTCTGTGTCTCTTTCTCCCTCTCTTTGGCTCAGTTTCCCTCCTCTCTCTCTCCCTCCACTCCTCCTCTCTCTCATTATAAGTCTCCACTCTCGCCTCTCTCCACACACACTCTCTCTTTTCACTCTTCCCTTCTACCTTTCCTCTTTACCTCTTCCCCTTCCTCTCTCCCTCCTCTCCACACTCTCTTCTGCCCACTTTCTTCACTCTTCCCTTCTACCTCTCCTCTCTAATTCTTCTCCTCCACTCCTCTCTACCTCTTCTACCCCTCTCTCTTCACTATCTCCTTCTTCCTCTCAACTCTACCCCCTTCTCTGCACTCTCCTCTTCTACCTTTCCTCTCTACCTCCTCTCACTTTCTCTCTCTTCACCCTCCACTTCTACTTCTCCTCTCTACCTCTTCTCCCTCTCTCTCTCTTCACTCTCTTTCCTTCCCCCCCTTGCTCTTGTTTCCCTCTCTAACCTCACCAGTTTCTCGCTCCTTCTCTCAGCCAAGAATTTTTATTTTTTTTTGTGGAACCATCCAAAAAATGAAGTCAAATAAAATTTTATAATATCGTCTCCGACATATAAGACATGTAAGACATGTAAGACATATATATGTGCAGTACCTTTGATGACCACCGGATGGACCCAAGTCGTCCTGACCAGCAGAGTCCAGCGCCTCCAGTGAGTTAAAGTGAGTTCAGTGAATTAAGTGGAGTTTACATTTATTATTATTAAGCCACATCTGATACTTTGCAGCTGACGTCATCAACATGTCACAGGGTGTGATGCAAACTATAAGAACTGCTCTACAACTAAA